CAGGGGTGGCGAACCTTTATACACCAACGTGCCATTTTCTCTAAAAAATTGCTTAATGAGGTCATAGACGTGCCGTCAAATAATTTTGACTTCATGATTATTGGGAAAATAATAATACTAAATACTATCAACTCAAAACTCTTTATTTACATTGAAAAGAAAATACATTTTGCAATGTTTCAGTTATACGCATAATTCAACTTAAAGTAACATTAGTGGGACTTCTGTTATTGCAGATTAAATGACAAATAACTTATATTAGGTTGTAAGATATTAGTTTAAGCAGGACTGTTGATTTTTTTGCTAGTTATTTATTGTTAGCTTGTTTTTTATGGTTATTAATTGTTCTTTTAGCATTAATTGTTAATTTTTTTATTAATAATTGTTTATTATTTTGTTTTTTGTGAATTTTAATTTAATTGTTACATATGCTTCATAGTGTGTGACATTTGTGTAATAACAATTCATAGTGTAATAACAAATGTGATCGGTGGCGTGCCCAAAATATTGTGTCGGGTGCCATTGGTTCGCCATCCCTGATCTAGGAGAACGCCAAATGTATGCCAAGCTCCCAGCGCGAACGTATATCAACATTGCTAACTCTTGAAATGACGTTGCACAGCGTTTTAATAATTCTGTGATATATATCGTTAAGAAGATAAAACGTATTGGATTTTTATCCACAGTGTTTTACTTTTAAAAGCTCTTATGTTTACGTTTTAAAAGAATATTTGTAGAAATTGATGACGAAATAAGACAGAACTATATGCAGTTGCGGATGATTACTTAAATCCTATACTGCAATAGTCTTTTCTTAACTTACAACGGAGTAGAGTGTGAGACACGTGGTTAAACAGTAAACTATTTTAGACTGTTTTAGTGGTAAAAGGGTCTTGTTTTGAAAAAAAGATATATCACACTATTTATTTTCATTGCAAAATGTTAAAAAATTGGTTAAATATTTCTCATGGGGTATTATTCAGTAAAGAAAAATTAAGCTTTTAAAAATAACAAAATGTTAAAAGTTGCCTTAATATATGAACTATCGAAATCAGAGGAATAAACAACACACACACATTTGTCACAATTGAAATTTAGAGTACGTTGATAATATGCTTTTAAAAAATTTTTTCGTAGTTTTATTTTTAAAACAATGTTTTTTTCCTCACAAACAAATATAGATAAACCATGGAAGTGTTAACAAAAAAGTGACATTTTAGATTTTTTTCACCCATGACTGACTTAATATCCGATGACTGAAAAAGTGAATACTTAATGATTATTTTGAGTTTTTACCTTAATTTTATGTTATTATTCTTCTGTCTTTCATAGTGTTTTTCTAAGCATTTGTTCTATAACAAAAATAGAGAAAATATAGTTTATAGAAATTGTATTTAAAAAAAACAACTAAATACATTAGTCAAAATTAAAACATAACTCAAGCAATGATTGTTTTTACATACTTATTTAAATCATATCATAATTCGGTTGTTCTTTTAATAAGGGGCAAATAACACTTAAGCAAGAAAGTCTTACAACATAGTATAATCTGAAGGGTGAATAATATAAAATTTTAACCATCAATGGATTAATATCGCCTTATAAGAAGGCATACCCCTTAAACTTACTGCATTTAATGCTCCATATATAGCAATAAGAGCCGTGATAGCTCAGATGAATAGAGCTCTCACCTCTGAATTAGGTGACCAGGGTTCGAATCCCAGCGAAGGCTGGTTGATACGAATTCCGCACCCGTCTCGTACCGAACACAGCGCTGACGTAAAATCAGGGTAGATGGTTCATCTATTAGTGTACCGCGGGGCTAACCGTGGGAGGTTTTCGTGGTTTTCCCCTTAATATAACGCTAATGTGGATAATTTCCATTCAAAAGTCTTCTACGAAAGCAAAATTTCTTCCTATAATTGATCCAAGAGTTCTCTTGTGTTCTGAATTGGGTTCAAAATTACAAGGCTACGGAGTTGAATTTTGGTAGTCATAAACTCAAAATTGGGTCAGCTGGTCAGTGACGATTTTACAATATATAGCAATAAAACATACCATTTTTTCGCTCTTAGGGTTGCTATTTTTACAGTTAATTTAACTAAATTTAAGTATATAATTAATAATATAAATAATAATATAATTAATATTAATTTTAATTACATACTTAATGCTAAATTTAATTATTATAATTTTAATTAATTACAATATATTATTTCATTACCACTCAAATAAATATGTTAAGGCGTTAGTGTTTCGTTCTTTATTGAATCTGGTGGGGAGTAAGCTTCATCGTTAAAGGATAAAGGGACAGTAACACACTGATCTTGTAAAAAAAGTGGATTTTTTAAGCAAAATAAAGGATTAAAAGCTTCATTCTCTTCAAAAATATACTGATTGGAAATAACAGTCGACATGTTTCAAGTACCTAAAAATAGGTTTCCATTTTCAATTAACATTTTTGAGCGATTGAAATATATCAACTGTCATTTCCAAACTGATATTTTTGAAGCTAACGAAGTTTATTTAACCAAGTAATATCTTTTCGCTTTAGTTACTTGGGATTATTTATTTAAAGTAAGAGTTACTTTATGAATGAAAACAGGTATATTTATCTATTAATTATTTAAGATGCCGTGCAATAAGTTTCAATAATTAATAAAAGAAATTGTGTGAAACTAAAGGTTTTTGTAATTAACTGCGTATTACACTGAAGAGCCAAAAAAACTGGTACAGGCATGAGTATGCAAATAAAGGGGGGTATGGAACCAATCAAAGTGCAGCTCTGCAATCGGCAACGCGTATATAAGACAACGAGTGTCTAGCACAGTTCTAAGATCGGTTACTGCTGCTTCAATGCCAGGATTTAAGTGAGTTTGAACGTTGTGTTATAGTCGGCGCACAGGAGATGGGAGATAGCATATCCGAGATAGCAGTGAAATTTGGATTTTTCACGTACGACCATTTCACGAGTATACCGTGAGTATCGGAAATCAGGTAAAACATCAAATCTACGACATCTATGCGGTCGGAAAAAGATCATGCAAGAACGAGCTCAGCGACGATTGACGAGAATCATTAAACGTGACAGACGTGCAACCCTTCCACAAATTGCAGCCAGATTTCAATGCTGGGCCATCAACAAGTGTCAGCGTGCGAACCATTCAACGAAACATCATCGATATGGGCTTTCGGCTTCCTACACGATATTAGGCAGGTATACCAGTTTTTTTGACTCTTCAGAGTATATTTCTTAAAGTAATCTTGAATATGAATCTCTTTGAATTACCTAAAAAATATTTTACAAACTTTTTACAGTGGTATTCGATTGTTTTATTAATAAACTCGAACTTTAATGCTAGTTCTAATTAGAAAATAGTTTGTTTTTTTTTTAAATTTTAGTTTTGTAACTAAGTTTAGATCTTTGGTGGTAATAATTTCGACAATTTAAGGACACATGTTTATTTAAAGGTGCAATTGTAAATAAAAAAAGAACAAAATAGTTCAAACTAAAGTGGACACAAAAAGGATCCAAATTTAAAATTCATCAAAGTTACATTAAGTTTTATGCCGACCAGTCTGTGTGGGGAACTGGCCTTGCATCAGAAAGTTTCTGGGTTCGAATCCCGGGCAAGGCATGGATGTTCTTTCCTTCTCTGTGCTATCTGTTCTTATTGTGGGAGCAGTGTTGGCCCACCTAATATGGTACCCCTGGAAAAGTAGCCAACATCTCTGCGCTTCAGATGTCTGTATGATGAAGGCCATTCCCCAGCCCGGCATTGGAAAAAAAATTAAGTTTTATCCATTTGGTTCTTCCTTTATGGTATGATGCAATTTTTGAAAAGGTTACGAACCAAATTCACACTACATGGCGAATTTTAAAGACTGACTTTGGTAGAAAGTACTAATGCATTAAAAATATAAGTTTTGTGGTGCAAATTTGTGAAACTTATTCTTAAAGCATTCCTAGTATCTTAAAAATGTTCAATGCGATTTCCTCTACAAAAATATTCATTCGGCAGCAAATTTTGAAAAAAAAAAAAAGAAGTGCATGGCATCTTAAAGATTCACACTATTAAAACAAACTATAAAAATGCAGGTTTTATTGTGAAAAGAGTTTTTGAAATATCTCTGCTACGTAAAAAATTAATTCACGTTAATGTCAACATAAATTTACAGATTGAATAAAAAGTATATGGCAAAAATTTGATGGAGTGAATCTACGCTTAGAAAATATTTACGCTTCAATTCGTACTGTACATTTACTGTAATAAACTATCAGAAAAATAATATTACATAATTTACCGTATTATGACTTTCTGTCACCTTTTGAGAAATTTCATAATATTCTTCACTAGAAACAAGAAAATAGACAGTAAAAAGGGTTAATATTTAAAGAAATTATTTTTAATAAAAGTAAAAATATTATGCTTCAATTTAGGAAGTTTTCAAATTACTTTAAATGCAAATATATTTACTTAGACGAATATAAATACATAAACGAACTTGATAAGCTCACTAATTTTGTCACTAAATCGTAAAATTAGGGTAAATTGTTTGCTCACTCAAATGAAAATTTTCAACTATTAATAAAAAATAAAAATAAAATTAGAATAAAATAAGATAATTTCGATAACAAAGAACCAATTAAAAGGCACGTGGGCAGGAAGTTATTTAATAGGGAATTGATCAAAATAGATTTTAAAAGAAACGAAAAACGAAAAATTTACTTTACACTCGTAGAAAAACATTCTGGTAAAATTACCGTACTTGTATGGTAATAAAATTTCCCGTAAAGAAACCTTTATCCTGGTATCAAATCATTATTCTGGAAATAAAACCAAAATAGATGGTTTTTAGACTATTCATTTAATAATTTTTCTGTTCGTAAAGTAACGGTTTACTGGAAATTCAGGTTTTCAAAATTTTAGTTCTTTTCGCCACACATTTAGTAAAATTGCAAAACTGAAAAGTAATTTTAATCATGTAAATGGTTTTTATGCCATACTTTAAGGTATCATGAAAAATTATGCAAATTTTTTACCAAGCAGCATGGTAATAAAACTATATTTTATTGTTAATTTTACCAAAATTTACAAGCATATCCCTTCGCTGAAAAATACCATGTTTTTTGTTGTTCTCATTGGCCAAGAATCCCGGTAAATTTTACCATATTTACTCGTAGTTCTGAAAAAGACTATTTTTAGTGGAATCGTTTCTGTTTTCATACCATTTTACCAATTTTTTATGCTGCCAAAAAACGAGGACACATTCTACATTGGGAAAACTTGGTATCGAGCGATTCGAACCATCTAGATTGCGTTAGGGCAGTGTTTCCCGAAGTGTGGTACGCGTACCCCTAGGGGTATGGGAACAGTTTAGCAGAGGTACGCGTTCTCATGCGAAATATCTTGTAACAAACGAAAATTTAAAAATGAAAACAAAGCTAGCCATAAAAATTTACAATTACGTATTTTTCTATTGGTTATTTTTTGCAGAGTGAACAGTTAATAATTAGTGGTGTCAACAGCCAGTTGTGATTTTTAACTTTTGTGCAATTTCTTATAGCAAAAAATACATTAATTTTTAAATTAGTGGTGCACAGCGTTACGAAAAATTTAGAAAGGGTACACAAAAGTCATCAGTTTGGGAAGCACAGCGTTAGGGGAACATTAATCAGTTTGATATGGAGATCCCTAAAATTTTATAATTTCTATTAAATAAGTACGTCGTTGCTATGGCAACAGATGGTACGAATACTTTTTGTTTCGATAATGAATAAAATATGTTTCTCTTTCCCAAAATAAAAAATAAAATAATAAAAAAAATACTGCTTTTACGAGAATTCAACTCAACTCGCACACTGGCGGATACAGCGGTTAATAAAGATAATAAATCCCTTCGAATAAGGATATGGAGTTAATTGATTCGTTCAAACGTAAATAAGGAGAATCACATAATTTGTTTAATTGGGTATACTATAACCTACGTCACAGATCGTGTTATTCCTACTAAATTTAAATAGTAAACAGCATTTTCTGCGAACCTGATAAAAGCATCAAACGAAGTGTCTTATTTATAAGTCGCTACTCGCCAGGTTGGAATTGTATTAGTCTAGTTCCTTTGGAAATAATTTATATTGTTGTTTTACCGAAGTTTATGAATTTAGTAAACATATTTAAAACTCAGTTAATTAATTAAACTAAAAGGTAAATGTTATTCCTAGTAAGTGGAAGTAGTTGTGCTTTTTTCATATTATACCCAATTCACACTTATGAAAATTGTTTTACTCTTATTTCCAAGGCAACAGATAGCTTTAAACTTCTAGTAGATAGGATTTATCATGTTAGCTGGCCAGTATGTTAGTCATCTTAAACCGGATCCATTGGAATGACACTTAGTATGAATGATTTCTTAAAAATGACTGACTTCTTAGAAAAAATAATACAAAAATTAAATTAAATATTTTTAAAAACTATAATTTCGAGTGGGATTTCCGAACAAATTAGTTATCCAAAACTTTACAGCAGTTTATGAGTAATATAAATGTAAATGATAGTCGATATATTTACTAGCAAGCGGATCCACAGTTTTGTTTGATGCATTCAGCTGCTTCCAATTCGTCAGTTTTGTTAAACGTTTGCTTAACAAGTAGACCTGCAAAGAATTAGACTATTTAAAGCTTCTTTTAAAAAAAATACTAATCATATGCAACAGAATGAATCACATTGCAACAACTTTTGTAGCTTAACAAATCTTTTCAGTGGTTTATCTTCTTAAGATGATCATATAATTTTTGCTACTGTTACATTAATTTTTGCTACTCTAGTTACGTTTTCGACTATTTTGTTCCTTTTCTCGTTGTTCTTCTCTTTTTCGTTTTTATGTCTGGCTTAGTTTCCAGCCCTGTTTCATTCTGCTACTTCGAATTTGCATTGTTATAAATCTTTTTCTTACTTTAAATTTATCAATTTATAGCTTTATAGCGAACTAATTTATCAATTTCAAAGACTTAATTGATCTAAACGCTCTCATTTATTACTCATATTAGAATCCTTTTAAAATTGGATTTATAAAGAACTGTCAAAACAAGTTTGAAAAGTTACTATTATAAAAGAAAAATAATAATTACGACAATATAATGACAAATTTATAATTTAAATATCTTAATCCCACTAAAATGCTAATTGATATCTTTTAAATAGGTAATAATAGTAATTTTAAAACAATTTTTTTAAACTTTTATATAGTTTTTTAACTGGGAAATAGTAATTAGATTTCCATATCTAATAGCTTGTTTTCATCTTAATTATTAAAGTATAAAGTTTAAATATGTACTTTAATTTTAAAAACCGAAATATCAACTATTTTTACATTTTTTTCAACTCAAGAAGGATTTTTGTGAGATCGTGAAGAATTATTTTGATCAATAGTTTTAAAAACACAACTTCTAAATGAACGCATTTTCATATTTAACTAATTTTATTAATACAGGTGACGTTTCTTAACTAAACTCAATGACGCGACAACCCATAGAGGGCCAAGACCTACTGTGCCCAGCTCAGTTTTCTTGACCTTTGGGCTCTGGGGTGCGAGAGCAGATGTTCCAATTGTGTGATCAGCCTAACGCGGAACCCCTAGTGTTTATTTCTCAAGCATGCTTAGTACACATTATTTCGACCCACTAAAAGGATGAAAGTTTGAGTCAACCTTGCCCGATCCGAGGATCAAACCAAGGACCTCCAGTACGACAGCGTGAAGCGCTACCACTCAGCTACCGGGTGTCAAGTCTAATTTGCTTGTATGTTCTTGAACTTTCTGTTCTTTCTGAAATGCAATTAATCCTGTTAAATTGACACAAATTTGTTTGTTTATCACTTGTCTAAGTTGACCTTAGAGATCAAATACCAAACTGACAAAAATAGTTAAATTCTTGCTTTAAAAGCTGACCATTTGTCTAAGTAGACCGTCAAATTGTTTCTTACCCTAACTTATACAAGTTTTACTGCGTTTTTTTGTTGTCAATTTCGGCATGTATAAAATCCTTAAATTGTTATATCACATAAAAAATGGTTTAATAATGTTTCAGGTAATCAAAGGAAAACAGAGTAAAACTACACCAGTTGGACAACATGTTGATTGCCCACTCAGACAAGTGGTCAGGTTATATTGCCAGTTTGATACTTACTAAAATCAATTTTCGACAGGTAATCAATATACAGAGGTGATCAAATTAACTGGTACAGTAGGTTGTGACAAAAGCGAATTATTTTTACTTACCTACTACACTACACGGTAATTCTTGATTGGGAATCTGACTTAGCTCGTCGATTACACAACCAAATCTTTTTAGAGATAGCCTTATCTTACATTCATCCATGCATTCCTAAATAAAAAATAATACAAGGTGTTTCTTAATTACCACTCTTTATCTTTAGAATCCTATTCATAAATGAAGTAAAAACATACTTATTTGGGGTCACAACTTAATATTTAAGCAAAAAAAAAAAAAAAAGTGATCAAAATTTTACAAAACTACATCGAAAAAGCAGAGAGAAATTTTTTTTTGGATCCTGACTACTCTTGCAGGGGAACATAGCGTAGTTAAAAATTAGATTATAAGAAACAGCTTTAAATTTCCATCAGCAATCAATAATGTTTATAACTTTTTGATTTCATATTTGACGCGTATTCTGAAAATATATATTAAGGGTTTACTTTTCATAGCACTGTATTTATTTCAATGACGAAGGTTATATAATCTATCTTATAATCAATTGTAGTCTTTTTTACGTTCCTTATCTTGGCATATCATGATTATCTGGGGATGTCAATGCCTTGGCGAATAAATTTGGTAACTTATTGACCCTTCATTAATCTGGTCAAATAAAATGAATTAAGGCTCTCACAGTAATAACCTTTGGTATAGGCATGACTCTTTTTTTTACTAAATATTGACACTTACTTTATTATTTGTAGCCCCAATTCCTCCATTTTCTTTCCATCTCTTCAAGTAATCCACGCATTGTGTTTTATATGGTGGGGGAAGAAGATTCTTCACAACCTGAAATATGTATGGATTTATTCGATAGAAAATTAAACTTTTTTCAGGAAATCAGATGCTTACAGAAACGAATTATAAATCTCAGTATATTTTTTTGAAGTATATTTTTTGAACCCCAAATTAAGTAAGAAATTTTTAAAGCATAATTTAACTATATTAGTATTATTTACGCTTCGAAAGTATTATTTCAAATCAAACTAAGAAAAAGAAGTTAAGAAATTCACTTATCCTTTTCGAGCTCTGCTGCTAAATGCTATTAGGGACTACATGAGAAAATAAAAACCCTTCTGAAGTTTGGTGGTTTTTTACAATACCTTTTCAATCAGTAAAGTATAAGAAAAAGTTTATTTTCACTGTTTTTTAAAAGGGAAATAAATATTACTGCCCGATATAAAAAATGCAATTTTAATTACAGCACCTAAAATAATCGCAACATTATAAGGAGGAATTCTTTTGGGAACATCATACAGAAAATTTTTTTTCATGTCATTTTTATTAAAAATAACAAGCTTGATAAAGGAGTTTCTTAATGGAAGAAAGTGCCAAAAGTTACAGTTTAGTATTTTCAGGAACAGCAGTTTTAGAATACTTTGGTTGTTGCTGTAGTAGCTCATTTACGTCGCACTAGAGCTGCACAATGGACTATTGGCGACGGTCTGGGAAACATCCCTGAAGATAAACCGAAGACATGCCATCACAATTTTGATCCTCTGCAGAGGGATTGGCACCCCCGCTTCGGTAGCCCGGCGACCTGTACACGAAGTCGAGTTTAACGAGGTTCAATACCGCACACCCTCGGTCCCTAAGACTAATCCAAGTGGTCACCCACCAGCACACTGACCGCAGCCTTTGATGCATGACTTTGGTGATCTGCTGGGAACCGTGTCTTAACGATCAGTCCACTGCGGGACTAGAATACATTGAATTGTTTAACCCAGTGGTAACAAACTTTGAGGAAAGTTAGCGCGCAAGGAATGAGATTTATAATGTTCCATGTTCCGAAATATTACACAGCTAAAGGCGTACTGGCTGTTCATGCGCTTAAATTATGATCTATATCTTCACCAGTAAACTTACCAAATTATATAGAAAATCTAATTCCTTTGTGGAAAATTATTTAATGAATATAATGGCTTTAATTTTGAATAACTTAAAATAATTATGTTAAATTGACTCTTAATACACATAATAAATTCAATAATATTTCATTTAAATCTGACTTCATTTTTTTAAAAGCTTATAGAAGCAAAGTCTTGTAGTGGCAGTTTTTATTCTGCGTTTGATTTTCTATTTTAAAGACTTTGTGGTCACTTAATAAACCAAAACAATAAAAATGAATACATGAATTAGAATACCTCTTTAATAATTTCCTAACTTATGGTTAATCTATTATTTACTTTCTAGAAAAACTCGGTGATTTTATTCATTTTAAAATATTTTAAACTGTTGGTCGCTTTTAACCGAGAGACCATAGATTGAATTGGTTTTTGTCTTTCATATTCGGGTCTAATAGCATAATAGCATGTAATATTTTTATTGTAATGGGTTGATATGAAAAATGTGCATACAAGTAAAGGCTTACCTTTTTTAAAATAAATTTATTCCGAGAATTCAGGAACATAGTTGAACCGGAAAAGAATGGGTTTATAATTTGGTTGGGATTGTGAATAGATATCTTGGCCAAAGGAGGGTGAAGAAAAAATGGAAACTCCGTTTCATCAATTGTTAAATTCAGAACCAAATCTAAAGACATAAATGTTGAAAAAAGTTAGCTAATTTACTGCATTAATGCTCAAGACTCAATCTTTCAATTATGTTTTCTAAATTACTACTAAACGTTCTAATACATGAGCAAAAGATTACTTAAAACATATTCTGTCCACCGAAAAAAAAACACGCATATGATTTTGAGATTCAGTGGAATAATATTGTTGCTGATACCATAGTATTGTACGTATGAGAACGATTTTTTTGGGTACTTAATCAGTAACAAACTGTTACCCGTATGTCCTAACTCTGCAACTATCTTACGTATAAGGACTCTAGGTCAACTATAAGAAAATCGTATTATAAATCGAATGAGATTTAATGCGATCTAGAATTGAAAAAAACTCAGTGATAGTACACGATTCATATACAACGAGGCGGAAACATAATGTCAAATTAGTTTTAGTATTTTCAAACAATTGTTTTTAACCCTACGCCATCTTTTCCCCCTCGTTACTATTTTGCTCTTCTAAAAGAAGAATAAACGTAAAATCAAATATTTGATTTTTAAATGCAAAACGAGATACGGAACTTGAATTGAACGGTCAAAGAAATTTTTTATTATTATTCTCTGTTAAAAATATCGTTTAAAAAGTTTTTTTTTAAATACGACGACGTTTGTTACCGTTTAATGAATAATATAATTTATTTTAAGTTAACTCTACTCTTTAAAAGGCAAATAAGCTAAAAAAAGAGGAATAAATTAAAATCTTTTAGTTGCAAATAATATTCTAATTTGAACCTATGCGTTCCATGAAGCCTTTTGTGCGTAACTAATTAAAACCTATGTGCACATAAGTTAATCGCAAGAGAAAACCTAAAACTTAAATGAATTGATTCTTTAATTACCAGACATTTTTGAAGAACGTTTTCCTGAGATTAAACTATTAAGTAAGATATTTGCTCTCTCAAGGGTTAATCAGCAAACTCATTGATTCACTTAAAATAATAGCACTAGATGGTTGAATGATGACAGTTATAACTTTTATCATTAGATTGAAGATAGTTATAATTTTTATCATTAGATTGAAGATAGTTATAATTTTTATCATTAGATTGAAGACAGTTATAATTTTGACAGAAGTTCTTAAGTTAAAACGGTCAGTTACGTTAAATATCTCAAATAAGAAGATAAATGTTTCACCAAATGAATCAATGCAAGTAAGTGAGGTTAAACTTATAACATTCAAGTAAATAGGGCATTGGTAGACTTACTTCCGTAAGACGGAACTGTTAGTGGCATTATATCAGGCTTCCCTATTACTGTATTTATTGTCCAGCATATACTGTTGGCACTTATTAAAGTACTTCCGACAATCATTTGCTTGAAGTTAGATAAGCTGAAAAGCAACATATATATATATATATATATGGGTCATTCTCACGAAAACTGTCATTTTTCAGTTCATAAAATCCCAAAAAAGTAAAGTGAATAAAAAGCTCTGAAACTTTTTATATTAATAGAAATATGTAATGGCATTATAAAGAAAGTATATATCCTATAAATT